AGAAAATATATAAATAGAAGAAACATCAGCCAGAATGAGGTATGTGAAAATTGTTGTGCTTAACTTAGAATACAGGTAATCTTGAGTATTGAGACTAACTTGTCCGTCGGAGTGCTAATTCCAACAACCCCGACCGGAGTGTTTATCCCTTTTCAGGTGGCTAGAAGAGGATCACGAGCGTCCCCCAGGATCAGAGGAGTATTTCCAAAACCACTTCTCCACAAAAATATTTGTGGATAATCTCATAAAAAAAATAACAATAAAAACAAAAAATATGAAAATGTACTGGTTCTTGTATTTTTTACATTTAATAAAAAATTTTGAATATTTTTTTTCAAATATTTTACTTTTTTAGGCGCATGCAAAAAGTATAAAAAAAATTGATTAAAATATTTAAATAATTCACCAATGACTGAAAATACAAAAAAAAAACAAAATTATAAAAAATTATATTTGAAAACTCAAAACTAAATGGAATTAATATTTTGTATCTTATACTATGTTTGGATCTTGTTTTTGACGAGAGAGAAAAAATAAGAACGCGTTGAATTTAGTTGAATCAATTTTTTTTTTTATCTTTTTTATGGGTAATTAATTAAAACATTATTTATTAGAGAAATGCTTGTAAGGGAAAATTATATAAATAGTCCTTGTAATTTATACGATGTGTTAATTTGGTCCTTGTTATTTTAATTTGCTCAATTTTGCCCATTAATTTAAGAGATTGTGTCATTTTAGTCCAATAAATAATGGTTGTCAAACTATGTGTTAATTTGGTCCCTGTAGTTTACATAATGTGTTAATTTGGTTATTGTCAAAATCGAGCAAATTAAAACAACATGGAGCAAATTGACACATTGTGTAGACTTTCCGTTCATCAAACTTAACAACTGTTATTTATTGGACTAAAATGACACAATCTATTAAATTATGGGACAAAATCGAACAAATTAAATAACAGAAATCAAATTAACAGATTATGTAAACTATAAGAACCATTTACATAATTTGTCCTTTCTTATTTTTCATGCTCATGAGACAAAAGTAACAAATAGGACGGAAAGTTTATGTTGACTGGCAGCATTCCCAAATCTTGAATTACTCTACTCGACTGGATATACATATTGCTCGCCATTACCTGAAATACGACAATACAATTCAGGCAGAGCTACCCTGAGATTTATGGAGTTTTAGGCGAGGTTTGAAAGTGAGACTCTTCTATATATATCTTTTTGTGGGGATATAATTTTTGAATGACAACACGTGGCCGAGGTGTCACCGAAGTGCCAGCCGAGGTGCCACGTGTCCTGGTCATGACGCCAAGATGATCTCAGCTAGGCCGAGGTTATCTGTGGAGATACCGAAAATCGAGATAAGCGGATAAAGGACAAAAGTCTTAGAATGAGAGAAGATTTCAGTTTGGGTAAAGATAAGACTCTTAGAGGGTTTATCCTAATCCTACTGGGAGTCCAAGATTAGCAGTAATCCTAAGTCCATTAGAGCTAGGCTTCTATTGGGACTAAGATTATGTTGGCTATAAAAGGGAGACACCCCCATGGGTCTAAGGTAGGTCTTTTATGCTCTGTCTAGTGAGTTAAGCACTATTGGTTATCTTTGAGAGATATTTTACTGACTTGATCATCGGAGTGCCCCTGGGTGGACGAACCACCGTGGGATTCTTATCTTTCTGTGACAGGTTGTTCGGGCTTAATCTATTCTGCCAGTGTTCTACAACTGAATACTAGTTTGGCAGTGTGGTCAGAAATTGACACACACAATTTGGCACCGTCTATGGGAATGAAAGGAGAATAGATGGCCAACAACGGACAGAAAAAGAAGGTTGGGAACGACATCCCTACTGGAAGTGGAAAACATGTAGACCTTGATGTCGAAGAAGACAACTACAACGAAAAGACTCATGATAAGAGTCACTGAGAAAAGGACGTCGGCCAAGAGGGCGATGTGCCAAAGAAATCGAACCGAGGCGGGTACTATAACAAAGACGACCTCCAGGTATGAAAAGATAGATGACTACGGAAGGACGGCGAGACGAAAGGAATGGCGAACAAATTGGTGGACCTGCAAACAGTCGTCAATTTCGTGATGCAGAACAACATCATGCAACTACCGTTCCCGTTACAAGATACGCCGATTCCAGTGGCCAAGAAGGGTGCCCAGAAAGGGGGGCAGAAAACGGTTCCTGCAGTCCCTCAGTATGGTGGGACCAAGGGACATTCTCACCGGCCTTCGCGGGAGGTCGGGCATGGAGAATCCCAGAAGACACGATCTTGGCCTAGATGATTAGATTCGAGAAGAGAAGAGGTCAACCTAAAGTGAGCAGATCCCAGATTCCAGAAGACAAGATCTCGGCCTAGATGATTAGGTCCGAGAAGAGAAGAACTCAGCCTAAAGTGAGTAGATCCCAGATTCCAACAGACAAGAGACCGAGGTGATGTTTAACACTTGTTGAAACTTAAGAAAAGTTTACAAGTTGAAGGTAAACCGAGATGATGTTTAACACTTGTTGAAACTTGAGAAAAGTTTACAAGTTGAAGTTAAACCGAGATGATGTTTAACACTTGTTGAAATTTTAAAAATTTACAAGTTGAAGTTAAACCGAGGACATATTTAACACTTGTTGAAATTTATGAAAAATTTACAAGCTAAAGTTAAACCGGGGTCGTGATTAAAGGAAGGAATGATATAGGTTCCATTACCTCAAGATGCCGAGGTAATAGAACCCAGGGGCAATTGTGAAGATATAATTTTTGAATGACAACACGTGGCCGAGGTGTCACCGAAGTGCCAGCTGAGGTGCCACGTGTCCTGGTCATGACGCCGAGATTATCTCAGCTAGGCCGAGGTTATCTGCGGAGATATCAGAAACCGAGATAAGCGGATAAGGGACAAGAGTCCTAGAATGGGAGAAGACTTTAGTTTGGGTAAAGATAAGACTCTTAAAGGGTTTATCCTAATCCTGCTGGGAGTCCAAGATTAGCAGTAATCCTAAGTCCATTAGAGCTAGGCTTCTATTGGGACTAAGATTATGTTGGCTATAAAAGGGAGACACCCCCATGGGTTTAAGGCAGGTCTTTTATGCTCTGTCTAGTGAATTAAGCACTATTGGTTATCTTTGAGAGATATTTTACTGACTTGATCGTCGGAGTGCCCCTGAGTGGACGAACCACCGCGGGATTCTTATCTTTCTGTGACAGATTGTTCGGGCTTAATCTATCCTGCCGGTGTTCTACAGCTGAGTACTAGTTTGGCAGTGTGGTCCGAAATTGACACACACACTTTTTATAAAAAAGTTACAGATAAAATAATAAGTTATTAATAATATTTTTATTATTTAGTAGCTACAAAAACTTTTCTTACACATATAATTATTAAAATTTATTTTGATATATTAAGATACAAAAAAATTATTACAAAGACTCAAAAAAGATAAAATAGCGGCTTGTTATTTTATAGTTTAGCAATAATCAACACAAACAACATAATTCACTAATATCTGATAACGAAATCATTATGTTATTGTAATATAATATCTGATAACATAATCATAATTCACATGAATCACAATCCACTAATTATTTGATAACAAAACACAAATTATTGGGAAAAAAATGAGAGAAAAAATTAAGGTAAAATTATTCAATTAAATTATAAGAAAGAGAGAGGGCCAAAAAATTAAGAAAAAGAAATTAGGTTAAAATTATTCAATTAAAATATCATAAAGAGAGATGGCAAAAAAATTAAGATAAAGTTATTTCTATTAAAATCTTGACATTAGACTCTATTCGTACTCATTATATCATACATAGTTGTTTGGACTAATGATATAAATTTTTAATTGGGCCTAACAATGATTATCTTCTTTTTTTTTTAATTTGACCCAACAGATTTTTTTTGAACAAATTGTTAGATTGGGCCTCAAACAATAAAAAAAGATTGGACTTTAAACTTTATTATAATATAAAACTAATAAATTTATAGAGTCTTATTTTGAGCCAAAATTTGAAAACCCTAGGCACAAACTTTAGTGTCTTTAGCCAAGGGCCGACATCTCTAAACATGTCAGGCATTTTCCATAGAGAACAATATATATACATGAACCAAAACAACATAAATCAATCATTTGAGCATAAAATAGAGCAGGTTGCAAGTTTGGAGACATACTAAAATAATTAAAAAGTCAAAAAGTCAAATTTTTTATATAATTTTTCATAAAAAGTTAAAAAATTAACTAAAATAGCTAGTTCTTATTAAGAAAAAAAGAAAAGAAAAGAAAAGAAAAGAGCATGTCACATTTGGTTGAACCTCACCAAAAGAACACTTGTTTATGAAGGAGGCGGGTTCCCTTCGGTCTGTAATTTAGATTGAAGGGTGTTGTTGGGATCGGTAAGACTCATTAGAGATTTCATTTCATTTTGATAGAGCACTTCGTGTATATCATCTAAAAAAAATTAAAAAGTCAATTCTTTTTTATGCTTTTTCGCATGTTTTTTCATAAAAAAAAAAATTTAAAAACTAATTCAAATAGCTAGTTCCCCCCTCCCCCCCCCACAAAAAAAAAAAAAAGTGTGTTAAAAAAAAAAAAATAGAGCATGTCCAATTTGGTCGAACCTTACCAAAAGAACACCTATTATGAAGGAGGTTGGTTCCCTTCGATACATAATCTAGATTGTATGGTATTTTTCAAATTCGTAGGGCTCATCATAGGTTTCATCTACAAAAAAATATAAAAAAATTTAGGATCAATACTTGTGTTTTTAAAAGTAAACTCTTTTTTTTTTCTTTGGTAACAATTGCAATAAATTAAATAAGTTATAATTATTAATTCAATCTAATTTTTTATATAAATCTTTCGTACAAAATGCTTGACAAAATAAATTATTCAAATATTAAAACATGATGAGTATCCGCAGACCCGAACAGTATATGGAGTGGTAGTCATGCGAAAAGTTGAAGTGATGAAACTGAAGTAATCTCCATCCAACGATTGTAAATGAGCAATGAAGAGAGATCCACCATTTCATATTAGGCAAAAATTCTGTTAAACAGACTTGAGACAATGACAACCATCTCAGCCGTGCCGTAGAATGTAAAACCACGACAAATTGACCTTGACGTGACTTGTGGCACAAAATTCAGAAAACTGCAGTGTTTTTATTTTGTTATAGCTAATAAGTCAAGAATGGTCACTTAAACCAATGGAATCGACCTCGAATTATGCGATCATCGATATATATAGTACCAAATATCAACCCCAGAAAATTGGATATCTGTGTCGATTCTACAACCCTTGATCTCAGGACGAACAGGTGCGTCTTCAATCTCTTGTTCTCTCTCTCTCTGTCTCTCTCTGTCTCTCTCTCTCGATATATGTGTATCTATGCAGAACACAGTGATCAGTTCACGTTTTTGTCCGATTGAACACAGCGATCAGTTCAGGCTGTTGTTGAAGTCCTCGGATTTGTTTCTTGTTTGTAGACGTGGAACTCTGATCTTGCTTTCAATCTTTCTCTTCCCTTGATTTGAATGGATATGTAGATTGATAATTGAGAACAAAAATAGTATTTTTTTTACTTAGTTCATGTATGTAATGTATTTACGTATGTATTTCGGGCAGGACACTTTTGATACTTTATTTATCTGAAATAAATCTGCATTTTGCTACCTGAAGGGTTAGGCTTTACCTCCAGTCCTCATCTGCACTGGAAGGTACTGTATGTAGGGCCGACCACGGGTTCGGTTTCAATAATTTGTATCGTTTATTTTGTAACTCCCATTCGTGAATATCGTTTATGAAAAAAATTAGATCGATTCGATAATTGTAATTTGTTAATTTTTTTATGAACGATATACACAAAAAGTCATACAAGATATACACAAAAAGTCATACAAAATATACGGCTTGAATCATTAGAACAAGACTTGTGGTGAACTACAAGGGTCCAAACAATACCTTCCAGTCCAAATTATGGACCGGAGGCAAGCCTATCCCCTGAAGGTAGTGAGGTTTTTTTCCTTTTATTTGTTCTTTTCTTCTTACATAAAGTCAATTGATTATATTTTCTCTGGAAAGGGATGGTTCGATACTTTCTTACTTGTTAGATCAATTTCGAAGACTGACATGAAGATATCACTTCTGCAGATTTGATGTTGAATAAGCCTTCGACCGTAGCTTAGACTAAGAATAGTTTTGAGGGATCTGCTCTGTGTTCCTTTTTCAAACTCAATGGCTTGCAAGTTGATCCCAAAAAGGGCATATTGGGTAGCTTTCATCTATACAGTTCTTGTTTCACATGCCTGCAATGGCTTTTATCCTTCGGAAAACTACATGCATACATATTCAACAGACGAAGAAATATATGCTAAAGTTAATTCATTGACCTCTATTTACACTGCGCTTCCCTTCAGCTATTACAGCCTCCCTTACTGCAAACCCCCTATGGGAATAAAGAAAAGTGCAGAGAATCTTGGACGACAACTCATGGGAGACCAGATTCTCAACTCTCCGTACCGTTTTCGAATGAACGTCAATGAATCTGTATTCCTCTGCACTACAAGTCCATTAAGTGAGCATGAGGTAAAGCTATTGAAACAGAGAACTCGTGATCTGTATCAAGTAAATATGATTTTGGATAATTTGCCTGCCATGAGGTTTGCTCAACAACATGGAATTAAGATTCAATGGACTGGGTTTCCTGTTGGGTATGCACTGCCAAATAGTAATGAAGATTACATCATCAATCACCTCAAGTTCAGGGTTTTGGTTCATGAGTATGAAGGGGAAAGTGTGCTGATAATTGGTACTGGGGAAGAGGGTATCGGTGTAATTCCGGATGCTGAGAAGAAGCAGCCTTCTGGATTTGAGATAGTCGGTTTTGAGGTTGTCCCCTGCAGTGTCAAATATGACCCCGAAGCAATGTCAAAATTCCATATGTATGAGTATGACAAATTCTCTGTAAACTGCCCGTTGGAGCTTGACAAATCTCAGATAATAAGGAAGCAAGAGAGAGTGTCGTTCACTTATGATGTCGAATTTGTGAAGAGCGATATTAGATGGCCATCTCGATGGGATGCTTACCTGCAGATGGAAGGTGCTCAAGTCCACTGGTTCTCCATCCTAAATTCACTAATGGTGATCTTTTTCTTAGCTGGTATTGTTTTTGTTATATGTTTACGGACAGTCAGAATCGATTTGACAATGTACGAGGAATTGGACGAAAAAGTACAGATGAACGAGCAACTTTCAGGCTGGAGGTTTGTTGTGAGTGATGTGTTCAGAGAACCAAATCACTCAAAGCTACTATGTGTGATGATTGGAGGTGGGGTTCAGATCACTGGGATGGCTGTTGTTACTGTTGTATTGGCCGCCTTTGGTTTCATGTCACCAGCTTCTCGAGGAATGTTGTTGACGGGTATGATAATTTTTTATCTTTTCCTGGGGACTCTTGGTGGTTATGCTGGTGTACGCTTGTGGATAGCAATCAAGGGAACTTCAGATGGTTGGAAGTCAGTTGCCTGGTCGGTTGCATACTTCTTCCCTGGAATTTGTTTTGTTATCCTCACTGTGCTGAATTTTATTCTCTCGGGTAGCAAAAGCACCGGTGCAATTCCCATTTCTATTTATTTTATTCCCGTGTCTCTCTGGTTCTGCATTTCAGTGCCGCTCACCCTTCTGGGAGGTTTCTTAGGGACCCAAGCTGAGCCTATTCAGTACCCTATACGAACCAGCGAGATACCAAGAGAGATCCCTGCACGCAAATATCCATCATGGCTTCTTGTTCTTGGGGCTGGGACCCTTTCGTTTGGAACCATATTCATTGAACTTTTTTTCATCCTCTCTAGCATCTGGCTCGGGAGGTTCTATTGTGTCTTTGGATTCCTGCTTGTTGTCTTCTTGTTGTTGTTGATCGTTTGTGCAGTAGTATCTGTGGTCCTTACCTACATGCATCTCTGTGCTGAGGATTGGCAGTGGTGGTGGAAAGCATTCTATGCATCAGGTTCCGTTGCTCTTTATGTGTTCCTGTACTCGATCAATTACCTGGTTTTTGACCTTAAGGGCTTGAATGGGCCTGCATCGGCTATACTTTATCTTGGGTATTCACTGATCATGGCCATTGCGATCATGATATCTACCGGCACTATTGGCTTCCTCACATCGTTGTATTTTGTCCAGTACCTTTATTCATCGGTGGAGATTGATTCCAAAGGTATATTTGCTAAGTCCCATGGGCCGGTTTAAGTCTCCTGGTGCAAGGGATCAACCCAAAATTTTGCTTTTGCAAAATTTGGCTTGCTACACTATCATGTCGCACAACATCACCAGGTTACAGATTTTAATAATGTTGAAGTTATGATTTAGCTGTCTCATTCTCATTGTGTGCTGCCTGTTTTTTGTTTGTTTGTTTGTTTGTTTTTCCCTCACCTGTCATGTGCTGGAAACTAGATGTATTCAATTGAACTTTCTATCCTAGTATGCTCTTTGGATTTTATGGTGAAAAGATACGTAGATTATATTGCAAATGGTGTTGTTTGTTTTATTGAGTATATGATGCAGCCCTCTGTTTGCCTGGACAGCTCCTGCCATGGACCAGAGTAATGTGGTTTTTATGGTTTCTCTATTTAAAAATAATACATCCAACATTTTAATTTATAATTTTAAAATTATCACTTTCATATTATTTTGGATGAGATGTATATGAATTAGAGGGATTGTATACACTTGTATTAAAAAGATTTATGTATCATTATTTTTTAATCACTTTGTTTGATTTTTGTTTTCAAATATAGTTTTGAATTTTTTATTTTTGTGTATTTTGTCTTCTTTGGTGAGTTTTTTTTTTTATTATTTTTAGTCAATTTTTATTTTTTAGATATACTTAAAAAGTAAAATATTTGTGAAGAAATCTTTAAAAAAAAATAATTTAAAATACAAAAAATATGAAAATGCACTACCCTATACGAACCAGCGAGATACCAAGAGAGATCCCTGCACGCAAATATCCATCATGGCTTCTTGTTCTTGGGGCTGGGACCCTTTCGTTTGGAACCATATTCATTGAACTTTTTTTCATCCTCTCTAGCATCTGGCTCGGGAGGTTCTATTATGTCTTTGGATTCCTGCTTGTTGTCTTCTTGTTGTTGTTGATCGTTTGTGCAGAAGTATCTGTGGTCCTTACCTACATGCATCTCTGTGCTGAGGATTGGCAGTGGTGGTGGAAAGCATTCTATGCATCAGGTTCCGTTGCTCTTTATGTGTTCCTCTACTCGATCAATTACCTGGTTTTTGACCTTAAGGGCTTGAATGGGCCTGCATCGGCTATACTTTATCTTGGGTATTCACTGATCGTGGCCATTGCGATCATGATATCTACCGGCACTATTGGCTTCCTCACATCGTTGTATTTTGTCCAGTACCTTTATTCATCGGTGGAGATTGATTCCAAAGGTATATTTGCTAAGTCCCATGGGCCGGTTTAAGTCTCCTGGTGCAAGGGATCAACCCAACATTTTGCTTTTGCAAAATTTGGCTTGCTACACTATCATGTCGCACAACATCAACAGGTTACAGATTTTAATAATGTTGAAGTTATGATTTAGCTGTCTCAGTCTCATTGTGTGCTGCCTGTTTTTTGTTTGTTTGTTTTTCCCTCACCTGTCATGTGCTGGAAACTAGATGTATTCAATTGAACTTTCTATCCTAGTATGCTCTTTGGATTTTATGGTGAAAAGATAGGTAGATTATATTGCAAATGGTGTTGTTTGTTTTATTGAGTATATGATGCAGCCCTCTGTTTGCCTGGACAGCTCCTGCCATGGACCAGAGTAATGTGGTTTTTATGGTTTCTCTATTTAAAAATAATACATCCGACATTTTAATTTATAATTTTAAAATTATCACTTTCATATTATTTTGGATGAGATGTATATGAATTAGAGGGATTGTATACACTTGTATAAAAAAGATTTATGTATCGTTATTTTTTAATCACTTTGTTTGATTTTTGTTTTCAAATATAGTTTTGAATTTTTTATTTTTGTGTATTTTGTCTTCTTTGGTGAGTTTTTTTTTTTATTATTTTTAGTCAATTTTTATTTTTTAGATATACTTAAAAAGTAAAATATTTGTGAAGAAATCTTTAAAAAAAAATAATTTAAAATACAAAAAATATGAAAATGCACTATTTTTTTTTTTTTTGGGAGGGGTGTTTTTAGGCCTCGTTTGGGAACAAACTATTTTAGTAACTTTTTTATTTGTTGGCTAAAATATGAGGTAAAAAACCTTATTATGTTTAGAATAATTTTTTAGTTTTTTACAAAAAGATATGCAAAACGTAAAAGGAAAAGAGAATCTTTGACCTTTTTATATAGGTTCTAGGCTTTTTTATTTTTTTAGTAATTTTTTGACTTTAGACTAAAATTATTACCTGCCAAACGAGACCTTAGTGAAACACAGACAAATATAAAAAATAAAATACTCAAAAATCCTTTTTGAAATTCAAAACCATGGAACTAATATTTTGTATCGTATATTATGCTTGGATTTTATCTTTGACGTCACAAAGGAAAATGAGAAGAAATTGAATTTTTTTTTTTTAATGACTATTTAAATAAAGAATTATTTATTAGAGAAATGTTTGTTTATTTTCTTCTTACTTTTCATTCTAATGGGACAAAAGTAACAAATATTATCTCATAATTTATTTCCCCACTCTTTCTTTATCTTTAATTTAGTTTTTTCATAATAAATTTAAATTCATAAATTTTATTTGTTTTGTATACCATTACTCATGCACCTTTTGGGGAGAAGGGGTTAAATAATCATGAGAAGGGGTTAAATAACATGATTATTAGGAGCAATTTACAATGTGTATCTTTTTAAATGGTGTGCATTGGAAAAAAATTTATGATTTGTTATGATGAACATTATGATTATTTATGATATGTGTTATGATATTTTATAGTAAAGTTGTGAATATCGAATTTATGATATGCATTCTAAAGTTAGGGATGATAACATTATGACATTTTGTGATTTTTGTTATTACACTTTAAGATTTTGTTATGACATTTTTCAATTAAAAAAAGTTATGACTTTTATAGTGAAAAAATTATGATATTTTATGTTTAAATTATGAAATTTTATGAAAAAATTACGAAACACATACCATATCCACATTTTGGAAGATGCACATTGTAACATCTCCTTTCAAATTATTCACTTTTTAAAATTTATGGAATAAATAGTTATGACAAAATCTAGATATCAATAATTATATCTTTAAATCACATTTATATTACAAAAAATATATGATTATTTTTAAAATTATAATTATCGTTTATTTTTATAAAATAAATATAATTTAAATATATATTTATTGATATTCGACAATTTTAGTATTTTACATGAATATTTTACTACAACGAATCTTAAAATATGAACAAATCTTAAAATGTGAATGACTCAAATCACTGAGATCAATTTCAAAATGAACTCACTAAGCCAACTTGAGAAAAAAAAAACCTTCAAAAGGGATTTTTTAATGTTAAATTGTGCATATTCTACAAAATCAATTCCATTAATTTGTGCTGATGTATGACATCAGCAAATGATCATCCACTTTTCCCCCCAAATTGGCGCAACTGAATAATTGAAGTTTGATGCTCTCCCAAAACAAACTGTAACAAATTCATAGAAGAAACTCTGTTCAAGGCTCTCATCAAGATATACATCATTCAGAAACCAGGACAAGATTATGATCAAAGCCTGAAACAGCTTGCAGAACCTCAGAACCTTCCAAATATTCAACTAACTTCGGCTCATCTTCACCAATGGAGCTACCTAACCCAAGCCTCCCATTTCGACCACTGCCCCAAACCCATACCTCTCTTTTCGATGTCAGAGCAACTGAATGTGCACGGCCTCCCGACACTGAAACAGGGGTTTCCCCCACCAGCTCCTCAACCACCAGCGGGAAGTTCTCATGGCCTTCCCTCCCAAGCTGAGAACTCTGGTTCCATCCCCATGAAACAATGCCTGTGGTATCTCCCATGCCCTCTGAGCTTGCAATTTGGCATATGGCCAAAGAATGGCCGAGTCCTGATGCAATAGAAATAGGACGAAAACTTATGTCGACTGGCAGCATTCCCAAATCTTGAATGACTCTGCCCAACTGGCCGTATATATTGCTCCCACTGCTCAATAGAGTGCCATCACCTAAAATAAGACGGTAGAATTCAGATTATTGCAATTGTAAACATGTCACATAGCTAAATGAATTTTGATAGTTACACAGCACACCCTGTTTGTTTCAATGAAAAACATTTCCTACAGAAAACATTTTTCACAGATGACATTTTTTTTATGTTTGGTTGCAACCTTGAGACTAGTGTGCTAGTGGTTGTATTAGTGATAGGTGGTGGTGGTAAAACTATAGGCTGGAAAATATTTTCCACCCTGCAAAAGTGAAAAATATTTTCCTCCAAATAAACTTATTTTCCGTTGACCATGAAAAACATTTTTCATTGACTTTTGTTTTCCATCGTATCAAATGCTAGAAAATGCGAAAAACATTTTCCAATAAATGTTTTCTGCCCAAACAAGCAGAGCGTTAGTACTTACGGCAGAGAACTAATGAATGGTCAAGCCCACATGCCACATCTACTACTCCGAAATGACATAGTTCTTTGACTAAACAGGGCTCCCAGACAATAGGCATGTCTTTCTCCTTCTCCATTCCTTCTAATACCAATTTTTCAGCAGCTTCTAGAACTGAACTTGAGAGCTCTGTTGCTTTCGGTATATCACTACTTGAATCTAAATGAGAGGACTCTAATGGCATTCCCATCTGTCCTAATCTACCATCTGCGGAATAACCCCAGCCAAACAACTTTCCATCCTTAGTCTGTGCCAGAGCGTGTCCCCAACCAAGTGATACCTGTCAGACAAAGATGAACATAACAATCAATCCATCCAATCAGACAAATGAACTCAAATGTGCTAGACAGAGACCATGAAATTTTAAATGGAACTAGCTAATCACAGGTCACCAACAACGTAAGTACTACATTTCTCTACCTTAAAGCATGATTAGAAGACCACCTTAACTATCTCTTCTCCCGCAAGAGCTTCAACTCTGGATGGTGAAACAGACTCAGTTATTCCTTTTCCAAGACCAAGCTGTCCACGTTTGGACTTGCCCCAGACCCACAAAGAGCCGTCATCTCCAATTGCTGCAGATATGACACCAGATGCAAATGCAGCTTGAACTTTTACTTGATCCAACCCTTCTACTCTCTTGGGCTCATTCCAAGATTCTCTGGCACAAACCAAAGAAAACAACTCAGTAACTTATTTACATGAAACAATCTATACTCTTTCATGAAAAGTAACTCCATAAGCACATTAGGCATTACGATATCTATCGCCAACTCTGCACAAAATAAAACAATATGAAAGCTTTGCATTCAAGAACCAGAAAAAGCATTTTCTTCATTAGTAACTGCCAAAAATAAATAAATAAATAAACTAGTAACTACTTAAGATATTACGGATGAGAAATTTACTGCAACAGTTACTAGACACATGGAATCAAAAGTGAAAAATATAATTTATTTATACTTTTTGGGTTTCCTTTCTCCTTCTTCTTCTTCTTCTTTTCTTTCTTTTTTTTTATTTTTTATTTTTTATTTTTTCTGGGTTTCCTTTCTTATTAACCTTTTTATTCATCGACGGGATGTAGTAATTTTGGAGTCACTATGTTGTGTCTAAAGAGAAGGCGGTGGAGGGGGGGAGGCTGCTTTTTTTTTTTTTTTTTCCCTTGGTAAGTAAGTGTTTCATTACTGAAAAATAGGATATATATTTTCTGGGTTTCCTTTCTTATTAACATTTTTATTCATCAACGGGTTGTAGTAATTTTGGAGTCACTATGTTGTGTCTAAAGAGAAGGCGGTGGAGGGGGGGAGGCTGCTTCTTTTCTTTTCTTTTTTTCTTGGTAAGTGTTTCATTACTTAAAAATAGGATATATTATATAATGGAGCTCACAGAAAAGTCCAACGGGCAACAAGCGCAAAAGCACAAGCCTCTAGCTACGAGAGGAAACGACTCATAAAACATCAACAAACCTCTCACAGCCTGACAGAATAACCACAACTAAGTAACTGCCACTTCCTTGTCCATACTTGGAAAATTTTTGATCATTTCTTGGAGGTTTATGAGTAGGCTTCCTCATCATGGGAGCCATAAATTCTCACTCCTTCAAGGATAACAAATTGTGAAAATTCTCCAAAGGTGATCCCTTTGTTGGATGCTCATCTCATCCAATTTACCTTTCTCTCTCTTTTCTTGGTTTCAAATTGCGTAATGCAAAAATCTAAACTTCAAGGGAGGCCAAAATAATTTTCCTATGGTTGTGTTTGGTTAGGGTTAGGGGATTTGGAAAAAAAAAAGAAAGGAAAAGATGTGTGAAAATAAGTGAAATAAAGACATATTTTATTCACATTTCACATGTCTTTTCCTTTTTCCCTTTTCTTTTCAAATCCCCAACCAAACACAGCCTAAAGGGGCCAGCTGTATTGATCCCAATTGCCAGTAATTTGTAGTTGATATTGTTAAACAGAATGAATTCACTAAATATACATGATCATCATAACTATGTCCCTTGTTTTCTCTGTAAAATATCATCGAATGAAAATGACATTTCAGATCCAATCCCTAACAACCTAGTCATAACATCAAACAGTTACTAGGCAATTTCAACAATTACAGACATACAAGTACACATGTATCTTGTTAGAATATAATATGTAAAGTGCTGCTTTAATAATTAGGTTAGTATAATAATTAGTATGCTTTAATAATTCTGTTTTCTCTTTTGGCTTGTAAGCTTGTAACTCCTCTATATAAAGGAGCTAACCCATAACATTCAATAAATCAATGGATACATTATTCTCTCTGTATTTCTCTCTTTATACATTGAATTTAACATGGTATCAGAGTAGGTTTAGAACCTAGTATTTTCGCTTCACCGGCAGGCGGCAACCTCACCTTAGCCGCCCGCCGGACCTCAACCTATTCCACTTATTTTCTACACATACCTTCCCATCACCGCCCAAATCCTCTCTCCCTCGGTTTTGAGATAAAACACACACACAGAGATAAATTGGTGGGTTCTGCATCACAATCTCACCTGGTTCTTCGAAGCTCAGAGATCTGGTTACCTTCAAAGGCCAGAGGACATGACCACTTCAAGGCAAGCTTACAAGATCAACCTGAACAACCCCGGGTCGAACGTCGCTAGCGAGACCGCCGCCGCTATGGCCGCCGCCTCCGTCGTCTTCCGCCACCACAGACCCACCAGCTTCTCGATCCCTTCGCCGTGCACGGCGTCACCAAGTTCTCCGATCTCACTCCGGCGGAGTTCCGCTGCAATTATCTCGGCCTCCAGCAGCGCCACGATCCACAAAATTATTCTCTCTATATTTCTCTCTTTATACATTGAATTTAACATGGTATCAGAGTAGGTTTAGAACCTAGTATTTTCGCTTCACCGGTGGGCGGCAACCTCACCTTAGCCGCCCACCGGACCTCAACCTATTCCGCTTATTTTCTACACATACCTTCCCATCACTGCCCAAATCCTCTCTCCCTCGGTTTTGAGATAAAACACACACAGGGATACACGGAGATGAATTGGTGGGTTCTGCATCACAATCTCACCTGGTTCTTCGAAGCTCAGAGATCTGGTTACCTTCAAAGGCCAGAGGACATGACCACTTCAAGGCAAGCTTACAAGATCAACCTGAACAACCCCGGGTCGAACGTCGCTAGCGAGACCGCCGCCGCTATGGCCGCCGCCTCCGTCGTCTTCCGCCACCACAGACCCACCAGCTTCTCGATCCCTTCGCCGTGCACGGCGTCACCAAGTTCTCCGATCTCACTCCGGCGGAGTTCCGCTGCAATTATCTCGGCCTCCAGCAGCGCCACGATCCATATGAACCTTGATCTTTGACACCAGTGACGGCGCCGTGATCAATCACCAAAACATGGCCTCTTCTTAATCTACCCATTTCCGATTATGATTTTTCTATGTCTGAGAATCGCCCTTACCACAAATCTTGCTATAAGGAGAAGCATCACCCAGGATGCGATGTTTGCAACAACATTATCCCAGCAAACACAGCCGCTCTCATTGAGTACAGAGAACATCCTTTCTTGGCACAGCTGAACACAATACTCTGACCAAACACACTATTCCCACTAAACTTTTCTATAAATCCATCATCTTTAAGGTGTGATTTGTATATTATTTTGATGAATGATTCATGTATTTATTAACATTGTATATCATGTCATCCATTGCTATGAAAAAGAGATAAGAAATGATAAATATTTTTTGTGAGCATACTTTTCACATGTTATATATGACTTCATACTAATATGTTAATTCCTTTTTGAGTCATATCTTTATAGAATCAATTTTGATGTCATAGCATGTTTTTGAGATGTATACTATCTATATTTTAAATTGTACATTTATAATCTCAAGAATATGCTTAGGCCCCGTTTGGGGACTTATCTTTTTAGCCAAAAAGCCAAAAAGTTACCATTTTAGCCAAAAAGCCAACAACTCATACCAAAAAGTTAAAGATTCTCTTTTCTCTCTACTTTTTGCACATCTTTTCGTAATTAGCCAAAAAGTCATCACAAACATATAAGTTTTTTTTACCTACTTTTTTAGCCAAATAGCCAAAAAGTTACTAAATTAGCCTGTTCCCAAACGAGGCCTCTGTTGGTGAGCCTTTCTAGATTCCTGTTTCCACTACCTTTATTTTATTTTATTTTATTTTTATATCTTTCTTTTTTCCTTCGTATTTCATTATTATAAAACTCAATTGGTGGGCATCATCCCTTTTTCCATTATTTTTTTTTTTTTTTATTCCACAAAAAAAAAATAATAATAAACAAACAAACAAATAAAAAAACCCATTTACACCCAACTGTTTTCTTGTCTTTGGGTAGATCAACTATCTCCCAAGTACCACTTCTCCTTAAAGCATTCATCTCCTCCATAACTGCTAATTTCCAATTCGGATCATCCAATGCTTCCTGTATATTCCTTGGAACAAACAAGTGTGAAATCCTAGATGTGAAAGCTCTATGGTTTTTAGACAGTCTTTGATAGGAGAGGTAATTTGCAATAGGATGTTTAATGCAATTTCAGACACCTTTCCATACAAGTAGGACCCTCTTCCGCCGGTCTTTTCGTCTTGCCTCCGTCCTGGGCGGCCCTTGACGGTGCTACCTCCGTGTTTTCCACGCCGCCGAGCCCGTTCACTCCCCCCTGCTCCTCCACCGCAACATATGACGGACCTCCGAATCGGAACATAACGGTGGCCTTCCGCTTCAGCTCATTGTTTTCCGCCTTTAGCACACATATCTCTGCTCGCGCATTCTTATACATGAGCTGGAGCAGAGCCAGTTGGGCGTTTAACTGCTGCACCTCATTTGTCCTACTCTGAAGCCAATGCGACAAGTTTGTGACCGCAATCATGGTTTCCACACATGACTTCAATTTATACTGATTGGCCTCAATATCCGATTACGCTGCCATTATTTGCTCCATAGACTGCATAGGAAAGTTCAACGGAGCAAAACCAGGGGCACTTGGTTGAGGTTCAAGGGCAACCGCACCGGTTATCTCTCTTGTGGACTCGTTGAGGTCTGGAAAGAGAGTGAGCAGACCACGGGAAGAAGAGGCCATGTTCTGGGTTGCTGAACGGGAAGAAGAGGCCATGTTTTGGATTGCTGAGTGTTTCAGAGAAGCAGCGATTTCAAACTGGTAATGTCAGAAAGGGTTGGTTGCAGAGTTTTTCAGAACGAAGATGTTCAGAGGCTTCAGACTAGTTTGGTTTGCCCAGCCTCCGCCTAAGTTTATATAGACACTGACGAAAAGGACGACACGACGCTCTGTCGATCACGTGCATCGCCGCGTGTCCAGTGCGACTTTTGATGGCTCGCCGTTCGACGATTTCTGTCGGACACGACTTTTGATGAAGTGGGCGCGCCTTTTGAGGGCGCGACTTTTGAGAGCTCGATATATATATACATGTATATCTTTTGGGCAGCCTATATACACAATCATACAGTGTAGCTTCTACATGGGTCCGACATGACCCCGTAAACTGTCCCGACATTGATTCCGGTTAGCTTCTACCTAGGTCCGGCATGACCCCATAAACTGTCCCGACATTGATTTCAGTTAGCTTCTACATCGGTCAGGCATGACCTCGTAAACTGTCCTAACATTGATTTCAGTTAGCTGCTACAACGGTTCGACGCGACCATACAGTGTCTTCTATACCGGTCCGACACGAGCCATACAGTGTCTTCTACACCGGTCTGCTACAACCATACAATGTCTTCCACACCGGTCTGACACGATCGTACAGTGTCTCCTATCCTATTTTATTTTATTTTATTTTTCTATTTTGTTACTCTCTCCAAACTCAAATTAGTTGGTTCCTATCCTCCTTGAGTTTGAGAGGGGCTGTTAAAATATAATATGTAAAGTGCTGCTTTAATAATTAGGTTAGTATAATAATTAGTATGCTTTAATAATTCTGTTTTCTCTTTTGGCTTGTAAGCTTGTAACTCCTCTATATAAAGGAGCTAACCCATAACATTCAATAAATCAATAGATACATTATTCTCTCTGTATTTCTCTCTTTATACATTGAATTTAACATACCTATCTATGTGTGGGGAGCTTCTATTTGCACACACAATATACAATTTTTGCACATCCTCCTCGCTACACTTTTTGCACATCCTCTTCATCAATTGTGTGTATAGAGTGGGTTTGGTGGGGGTAAATAGAAGCTCCCCTCTGTGTGTGTGTGTGTGTGTGAGAGAGAGAGAGATGACCTAGCAGAGTGAAGGCCGCGGCCGAGCTGGGATTCGATGTTGCGGCCCCAAGCCCAGAGCTCTCCGAGAGAAGTGACGGCGAGGGAGTGGTAGTGGCCGGCACTGATGCTGGAGACGTCTGGAGGGAGTCCAGGAACAGCAGTGGGCTCGTAGGCGTCGCCGCCCATGCCGACGGCGGAGGTGGGCAAGCCCAGCGCCCCTTGGCTTCCGTCCCCAAAGCTCATCACCACCGTGTGTTTGCTTCTACTTCTACTGCCTCCACCGATTACGGCGAGGACACGACGGAATCGGATCATCGCCCAACAAAGAAATCAATTGCTCAATCAACAACACGCCGATTCGACACCGACTCCATTGGTCGCTTCGGCTCCTCCTCGATGATTGGTTTGGATTAACTGATTCGGACCCAAATACCCGAAATCCTCGGACCAGTTCAGGCTTTAACGTGATTGGATCATCTCGAATATGGGCTGCCAATCAACCCAAAAGCCAATCCATAAGCAGCAGCCCATTTCTCAATTTCGCTTCGCTCAATGGTGATCAGAATTTCAATCGAGATCATTCGACTCGAGTTGGACAAATGATCCGGATTACTAGAATCTCAAATTTAATAGAATTTTTAAATTAACTATGATTGTAGTTATAAAATTGCTGGAAATTATACTATGAGAAAAAGATCCGGACCCCTCTCGGGTCACCCCCACGACCCTCACTGGCCTTCAACTGACCATTTTTTTTTTTTTTGCTCCAATCACCAACCCCCACGTATGTGTGGAGGTGGTGGGGGTGGAGGCTTGAGGAGGTCTCAAAAATCTTAAGATCCTTCGATTCTAGTTGGGATAAATGATCCAGATCGCATTAAGATCTTAAATTTAGTAAGATCTTAAAATGACTACGATCCTAGTCATAAAATCATATAGAATTACGTACGATTCTGATCCTACTAAAAAAATTTCTTATTATTTATTTCTTATATATGTATGTATGTATACATTTATACAAAAGATTTTACTATAAACTTTGTCTCCAACATCTTGCATAATTTATATATAACATAAAAGAACATGTATTATATTAAAATTATTTTTTTAATAATTTTAAAATTATTTAACATACAATATCATTATGAATAATTTCTCATTTTGTTTAACATTGATAGTAAATCTTACTATCCACTATGCTCTTGATACTTTTCGGTCTTAAAAGGTGATTTTTTGTATCATTAAGGCCTTGTTTAGGAATAGACTATTTTAGTAATTTTTAATTTTTTAGTTAAAATATGAGGTAAAAATATTAGTATGTTTGGAATGACTTTTTAATTTTTTACTAAAAAATGTACAAAAAATAGAGAGAAAATAAAATCTTTGACTTTTTTATATAACTTGTTGACTTTTTAATTTTTTTAATAATTTTTGGACTTTTAAACTAAAATAGTGAATTGCCAAACGAGACCTAAATGTCATTATTACTTTCCCCTTATAACTTTTGTTCCAAAAATTAAAAATAAAATAAAAGATGTCATGAGTATATATATATATATTTTAGAGGAGGACCCTTCTGGTCCACAATCTAGACTAAGAGGCTACTATTTGGGCTCGTGAGGCCTATTACGGATCTCGCTTTGATGATTTAAGTTGTTCATTTTGTTAGGCACTTTGTGTATTTCATCCATAAAAAAAAATAGGTTGATTCGATAACTATAACTTGTTTAATTTACCTCAATTTTTACTAAAAAAATGGACGATAATTGTGTTTTTAAAAATAAATCATACATTTTTTGGAGACAAACATAACAAATTGAACAAGTTACAATTATCGAATCAATCCATTTTCTTTCATGGATGAAATACACGAAGTACCTAAAAAAATGAATAGTTCGGATTATCGAACAGGATCCGTGGGCCCAAACTGTGCCATCCCGTCCATATTACCCGGTCGTCTGCTCGGACATCCTCCCTGACGTCCGGCCGGTTGACCGGAACAGTGTTCGGTTTTTTTTTAGGCACCTGTTATTTTTATATTTTAAATAAAAAACATTTTCAGATTTTTTTAAAATTTTTTTATGAACTTTGAATAGAATTTTGGATTGTGTGTTTGGTTATGCATTGTAAGTTTTTTAATCAAATATCATATGTCACATCACTCAATCCAAACTCAATTCAAAACTCTTTTCAAATCTCTTTTCAAAACTCATAACCAAACAAATTTTTCACACTCAAATCACAATTCCAAAACTCACAAATTCAAAATACAACTCTATTCTCAAATCATAATTCTAAAACTCTACCAAACGCCATCAAAATTTTTATAAATTTATTTACTATGAAAGTGGTGGAAGTTATAAGAAAATTAATTTTCTTGTACAACTCATAATAGCATGATAACTAAGTTTTTAGTTTCTTGCAAAAAATATAATAATATTGAAGAAAATTTTAAATTTATTATAAAAGTAGTTACTTATAATTAAAATTCTTATTTTCTTACAAAATTTTCATCATAATTAAATTCATACGAAAAAAGATATTTTCTTTTCATTTTCTTTTATTTCACTTTACTTTCTATTATATTTACTTTTCATAATTTATTTATTTCTAATCAAACAAAGAAAATACTTCGACATAATATTATGACAACCTGAATCAGGAAAAGTGGTAGCATGTGTAGCTGGCTCTTTCGCCAAGTCTAGGGACGTCTTGGGTTCCACCGAGTGGAATGAAAGGCAAGGTTTAAGTCTTAAAGGAAAGTGTGTGTGAGTTCAATTTTCTTAAGTGTTAATTTAATAATTAATGACTTATTTTTTTTAATAAAAAAATAATAGCCTGAATATCATGTATTAATGTCATATGATCAAATATTTTTCCCATTCTCAATTTTATGAAAAGCAACAGAAACTTAATATGGTCTAAATCGGAATTCCAAAACAATAAGCACCAAAACCATAACATCGTCTAAAATTGAAATCCAAAACAATAAGCAGCAAAACCATATATCGTTTAAAACTGAATTCTTCTGTGTGGCTTCCATCATCTTGCCTGAATAAAAATTAAATAGTAAAATGAAATTTTAAAAATTAGATGAGATAGTAGTAAATCTAAAAAAGATAGCATTAAATTTTTCTAATTAAATAATAATTCCATACAAGGAATGTAGAAAAATAATGTTTGAGAACTCTCATTTGAAAGCTCTAATAATGTAGAGAGTGATCATGTGAAGGTGGGACATACACTTCTTTCTCTATCTCTCTCTTGCACTTCACTAGAGTTCTAGTATTAGAGTTATATATCATTACCGGAATGTAGAAGGCGCGTCTTGATACACAATAGTGAAGGATAAGGGTAAGTCCTAGGGTAAATCAACCTAAAATAATAGGTTTAACGGGTAAGTTGATTGTGTTAGGTTTTTATTCTTGGCAATCTTGTTTGACAAAATTCCTTTCAGTTATACTTGTGTTCACACTTTTATTTCAGTGAGCCTATGGTTATTTAGATGTGAATCCAACTCGAATTGTATCTTGCAGAGATGTTTCAGAAGTATGTGAAGTTAATTCTTTCATGATTGCCACTTCGCTAACTATGACGGCGTGCCAACAAGAATCAATCAGTCCTTACGGAATGTTAATTGTCAACCAATTATCAGACGCTTGTATTTTAGTTCTTTCAGCCTCAATGAAGAGGACTTTGACTGGCGACTTTGTTTAAGAAAAATTAAGTAAACAACAATTAAAGGAAGGACAATTGTAATATCTCATTAAGTAAAATGAAAGACTTACAAAGATCCAAATTAGCCTCGTAGGGATTTACAACAACAATCTACTTAAAACTACTTCTTTGAACGAAATGCAGTGCAGGAATTTGAAGTACAGAAATGTAAAGAACAAGAAATGTAAAAAAACTGGAAATAAAGTAAAGTAGATATAAACTGGTTTTCTAGATCTGAGTTCGGGGCGCTTTCTGGGGCCTTCTTTGCTATTTATATTTCTCAATAGCAACTGTTGAACTGCATTTCTAACCGTTGAATCATGCTTCCATGATTGCTGATCATGTTGCCTTATAGTTAGTTCCACTATGCCATATCTGCAGTTAGGTTTCCCTCTCGATTTTGAATTTAAATATGAGTAATTGTTGAAGCCATGTCAACTTTCATTTCTTTGCTAATCCAGTGCTACGCAGATCTACACAAACCAATACTAACTATCACGTGTGTGATTACGATTGAAGACTTGAATAGTCTTCCTGTATTACACTTATTTTGCCACGCGTCAAACTGTGATTGTCCTGTACAAAATATATAGCAAACATTACCCCCCGCACTAATATAACCAATACTTGGTGATATTAGTGGATCAAGGCATTTTCCCACGTCTTAAAACGTTCATGGGTTTTGCATTTTTAGAAACACAACCGTCATTCATTGATGAACATTTGCATTAACTCCACTTCGATCCTTTGAACATGCTCACTATCTCAGTATTCGAAAAGACCAATTCAGTTCTCATGGCTAAATAGACATTTTCATATCTCGATCAAGCATATGAAGAGTTGTTTGATAATACCATTCGTCCTTGAAAGAATCTTCATGCATTGATTAGCTACCTTTACCCACTTTCCTATATTCAAGTCATGGAACCTTTTGCAAATTATCAATCTCTGGATCACGAACATATTATCCACAATCCTTTGATTCAGAAATTTTCAAATATGGACGTTGGAAGCTCTTCCTCTAACCCAAAGCCTTCTGGGTGGGATGAAGCTGCAACTTCTTCCTCTTCTGGGGCTTCTTATTGGGGAAGTTGGCCGGAATTAAGAGAGCGAGTTAACCATCATTTTGTTGAGTTCATTGATCCTCTAGAATTCTCTTCTGATGCTCGAAGTTCGGTGGTTTATCCCTACCATTGACCACCGATGTTATTTAGAAGACAACCTACTCATAACGTGGTACACATCTTCCACGCCTACAAAAATAGTACATGCCACTCCTCATCCAGAAGAGGCACAAGGGTATAACCCTTCATTCTTAGCTCAAAAGGCTAAACTTTGCTCTTCTGACTGGCTTGACATCGGCAATAGCCCCCGATTTCCCCCTACTTTCGAGATGGAAACTCCTGCACCTCCTCTTCCACAAGACCCTCACTGGATGGAGGAATTGAGGCATACTCTCTCTGAGGACCAGTTCCTCCCGTCCTATCACCCTCCATCTCCTCCTACTAAAAATCAACGAAAGCAAGCCCAACTTCTGCTTGCGGCCTTTTCCCATTTACCCTTCAATGTTCTTGAGAACGATGTTCCTCTCAAGAACTTTCGATGGGCTTGTGATATTATGACCCGGGGTCATATTCTCAACCCCATCGCTCAAGCAGAACTTCAAATGTTCTTGGACCAACTCCCACTACTCCTTCATTGGCATCACAATTCTGTCGCCATTACTCAATCCTTGGATCAAATTTCAGCCAATCGAGTTCATACCCGGTATGAAGCAGAGAACTTCATTGATGAATACGATGATTTCAAGAATAAAGATTCTGCATACTGGGATGACCTGGATATGGACGAGACTGAACAAGGGCTGAAAGAGACAGAGTTCGAACTAAAAGCTAAAAAACTTTTTTACCAAGTA